TTCAATTAAGGATTTAAAATTCTTTGATGATGAAAGATTGGACATGATTATTGTCGGAACAGACGAAAAAGGTGAGGGTCTTGATTCATTCTTATATTTAGTTCTGATGTCTTCTGATTCTATTTGCTGTGTACGGTAGGTGAGGAGATATGTCACTTAACGGAATTAAACTATACGAACTTAAATTTTCTGCCGATTCCCGGACCACAAAGCGTAGAAAGTATGGGCATATCTGAATGTTTAAGCGCCGTCGATCAGGTGCTTGATAAAATGGTAATTGTAAATAACTTTCTTTCCTTTATTGAAGGCTTTTTTACCCTAATCAGTGACTGATTATTATTATTGTGTTTTAAAGAAAAATGATAATTTCACGCCATTTTTTGTTCTGCGATCGCAACATTTAAGAATAATACCATCCCAATTAACTGTAAATGGCGCACGGGATTTGGTATGCGTGCTTAATGAGGATAGGAAAAGAATAATAATTTTTGATACTAATGACAAAGAAGAAATAGAAGATGAAAAGAATGAAGATAATGAAGAAATTAACGAAAGTTCAGAAATGATGGAAGAATAAATTTATTTTTGGTATTAAAAAATTCGTATATAACTTTATTTTTAATCGAAAAGAATAGCAGTACGAGGGATGAAATGTCAGTTCATGACAATCAAAATCTGTTTCATGCTATGGTGCGATAATTTTCCCTTGGGGCGATCAAACCAGTTACTTGTTAAATATGTCTAAAAGTTTGGCTTATTAAATATGCCCACGAGAATCAATTTGAATGATATTATATCCATAAACTTTACTCAACGATGCAACAGTGTTAACCGGCTTAAACCTTTCAGATTGGGTTCAAAAATACGTGTAGAGAGTCGATGAATAAGGCTCATACATATGTTTGGCGTTTTCGCTTTATATTGATTCATGAAATAAAAAAAAAACTCATCATCCGAGAATTACACGCACCACAGATGAACAATAAAATAACTACAATAATAATAACAATACTGTACGATTTGTCGCCTGAAATTTTCTACTTTATTTTATTTATTTTTTACCAGCCTCACGTCTTTAATTATTGTAAAATTGCAAACGTATTTATGTTAAATTAATATATAGCGTGGAAGCATCATCTAGAGATCAAAGAAAATCTTATACATACTTTACAGACTCGGCAAGATTCAATAATAGAACTCCTGAATCTAACAATATACGATTCTGAGAGTGTGATAGAAGAGTAGCAACCTCTCGGGCCATCTCAATCTTCCTTAACTCAATGAAACCAGGCTTATTCTTGATTGCATCACCGATTAATTCTGCAGATATGGCCTCACCTTCCGCTTTAATGATAATTGATTGTTTTTCTTGTTTAGCACGTTCAACAATAAAGAATGCTCTCTGTGCTTCTTGTTGAGCAATCTGCTTGGCCTCTACTGCATGAGTGAATTCTGGTGAAAATGCAACATGAGTAATGGATACATCATCCAATACTATGTTGAA